ACAACTTTCGTCAATACACGGTTTGGCGCCCAGAGTTTTAGAGCGACTAAGTTGGAACTTGGCATCCGTTAATCGAGCGGCCTGCATAGCGAGTAAGGGGTACTACTATATTCAGCGGTAAAACTACAACAGGCTTCTAAAAATAACTTTGTAACGCGAGGAAATCCTTCTGTACAGTTTCGTCATCTTGCGAAAGATGAAAAAATAACTTTTTGAATATGAGGAGCCTACTGTAGAGTTTCGTCACTTTGCGAATGATGCAATAAGCATCTATTGTTAGACAATTCAGTCAGAAATTGAGATCGAGCGTCTAATAATAGACCATTAGTAACGCTAGCATATTGCATCAGTAAAATACTGTTCATTTGTGTCACTTAAGCGAATGACGAAATCTGCATCATTATTAACAGGATACTATTTGGCACGATGGCGCCGGTTAGTTTTAAGGAGTCAGGGGTCGAACGCCGCGCCTATGCGGTAGTGTAATCGGGGGGTGGGGGCCCTGAGAGCGCCCTTCTACGTCTCTGACACAGAGGCGGTCACCGAAGTGTGTTGTACCATATTATTTCGGTGAGTGATTAATGTACACTCAAGGTTTTCATGCGGTAGTGTAGGTAAACCCGTGTCCTGATATTTATGATCCAAGAACAGGCATTGTTTACATTTAAATAACTCATTTTTAGAAAAGAAGGTCACGCGTCTAAGAACATAAAATTATAATTGATAACGCGTTGGTGTAATCCTAATATATTTCGTCAAACTTTCTTCTATCCCCGCGGCAACGCGCGGGGGTTGGGTACGCTAGTATTCTAATAAAATAGCGAATGTTTATTGCTCGCAGGTGAGCCTGGTGCTCTTCGGGTCGCGCAATCGACAAGGCGCCGGCGGCTGCGCCGGTTGCAATTTTGCCTCCTAATATAGTAGTACACCGTACCCGTTATGCAGGACGCCCAATAAAAGGATGCCAATTGCTAACATACCCGTTCTTGAACTCTGGGCGCCAAACCGTGTACTGACGAAGATCGCACCCTCCAGGGCAATAACCGTAAGAATTTATTTTTTGCAGAAATCTCGGGAGTATTCTCATTTACTCTCCAAAGTTTCATGGCACTCGTATAAACGGTGTCGAACCGCATCCGACTTATATATATATTTTAATATACCGCACCCTCCCCAACTGCCAGTTGAAGTAGAGATCCGCCAGAGAAAATGGAAATGGATTGGCCACACACTCAGGAAGCCTGTATCCAGCATAACAAGACAGGCCCTCACCTGGAATCCACAGGGCAGGAGGAGGAGAGGCAGAGCAAGAAAGACCTGGAGACGTTACCTGGAAGAAGACACCAAGAAGATTGGATACACCTGGGGACAGTTGGAGCGACTAGACCTGGACAGAGACTTCTGGAAAGCTCTTGTCAGCGGCCTATGTCCCAGTAGGGATGACAGGCAAACATGAACATGACCCTCCCGGGGCGCCGCCCTTGCGAAATTAAAAAAAATATTCTTTTTGCAGAAACCTTCACTGGATTGTTTTAATCAACTCCGCAAAGTTTCTTGGCGATCGGATGAACGGTGTCAATCAGCATTCGACTTCTAATTTTATAAACCGAATCGCTCCGTGCCTGGCGCCACCCCTGCGAATTTTTTTTTTTTTTTGTAGATACCTCCCCAGGACTAATCTCAACAAACGCCTAAAGTTTCATTGCGATCGGATTAAAGGTGTAGTAATGAATCAAAGACAATCAGACACACACACACGCACACACCTACATACCTATATATATATATATATATATATATATATATATATATATATATATATATATATATATATAATCCTAATCAAAGATTATAATATGTAAAGTGAAATGTTAGCGGCTCTTTAAAAGCTGGGAAATTTTGTAAATTGTAACTTTTGGCTCTTCTGTCTCAAAAGGTTGCCGACCCCTGGTCTAACCTATTATTTAATGTACACAATGGCCAAATAGTGATAGTCTTACTAAAAGTTTTGTTAAACGTTTTGAATTTGTATTATTACAAGTAAATGTAGAAATAAAAAGGTTATTATTTAATAGACACTTTGATCTACCAAATTCATGAGAATTAAAATTTAATCTAAACGCATTACTTATTTTCTTTTCAACTGAAAATGATGGTGTAAATCTAAGTGAGAGATTTTTTACCTTTATAATATTATATAGTAAAATTGTGAGTGAACAAATTAAAAATAATAGCTCAGTAAGTAGAAACATCAAACTGTCGTTAATTCAATAAGAATTTCTTTTATGTTATAGGCATTTTTAAAACAAGTTAATTAAAAGTCTAGTGACATTTATGCGCAATTTCCTTATGTTATCTAAAAATAGCTCTGACGTATAATGCTGGGATACGTTCAAGCTAGAAGAACGATCGGTTTGTAGGTGTTTATGTAATTTTAAAATTTGTGACCGAACGAGAGGATATTTTTGAAAACTTTCTTCGGCAATATTGTTCTAAATTATGGCAGGAATCAATTGGTACATGTTTTAAGTCGCTAAATGGTCTGGTTGCGAGATATGGGCGGGCCAAAAACTGAATTTTTTCGAGGTTTTTCGGCTTTTCTGGGAAATACATGAAAGAAACCCGGAATTTTTATGGCCTATGCTCATTCTCGTAACTTGCTTAACATAATTGCTTTTGGAACTAGTCATCGATATTGCTTCGTTGAGTAGGAGATACGACTTAAAGCCCAGACACACATTCATCCATACATTCATTCATTCATCCATCCATTCCCAGAAATTACGAGTTAATAAACGCAATTCTCCAGAATGGAAATTGCGCTAAAAAGGACATTAAAGTGATACGTTATGTCAACCAAGCAATGCGTAATTAATAGTATTATACGTAATGTAGTTTTAGCTTTTCTTTGTTTTCTTCTCCCTTCTCGTTACCACATATGGGATCAGGGCAGTGTTTCTTCCAGACTTTTTTCTCGGGGGGGGGGGGGCACTTGAAATTTTCGGGGGGGGGGGGGCGGTAGACTTTCTTCGGGGGGGGGGGGGGGCGGACACTGTTAAAAGTATATATTTTCTATATAAATTATAAAAATTTATTTCGTTCGGGGGGGGGGGGGGGCGGTAAAAATTTTTTGGGGGGGGGGGGGGGTATCCCCCGAAGAGATGCCTGGAAGAAACTCTGGATCAGGGACACGACCCATCTGCTCCTTAAAAATTGTGTAATCTAAATATATTCATTTTCAATTTCTTTCATCTATAGCACATATTTTAATCGATTAAGAAGTGTTTTGTGACATTTTAAGCAGTCCTGCTTAATTGTGATAAAAACGTCTAGAAGACCTTATCATCACATGATGTTCTAGAATGTAAAACTTGTGTATTTCCAAAATCGCTTACCCTGATTAGTATCAATTGTCCAAAATTGCATCCTCTCGTCCCGGCGCATGATGGTGTTGTATAAAACGGTTCTTCCAAAGTTACTATTTCGCAGGTAAAGCGTAAGTCGTAGATATTTCGTCCTTAGAAAATTCGCTCGGAAAAACATAGTCTTTGTAATTTTATCCCCACATATATATATATATATATATATATATATATATATATATATATATATATATATATATATATATATATATATATATATATATATATATATATATATATATATGTATGTGTGTGTGTGTGTGTATGTACGTGTGACTGTGAACACGATAACTTGAGTACCGTTACAGCTAGGTTGATGAAATTACATATATGAGTATTATGTTAAATTTGTAATTATGTTTCAACTTTTCGGCGATTTACGGTAACCGGAAGTGGAACTTATTATACTTTTGGTTTTTCAAAAGCATACAACTTGAGTACAGTTTCAGATAGACAAACTAAATTTCACACATAAGTAAAAGATATATATATATATGTATATATATATATATATGTATATATATATATATATATATATATATATATATATATATATATATATACATCTACATCTACGCTTTCTTTATAGTTATTTAAATGTATAATTTATTTTCTACTTTTTAGGGAGTTATTACATAATAGCTTGTTATTAAAACGTTTTTTATGAACTTTTTCAGTACTTTAAATTTTAAAAAATTACAATAGAGTTGCATGACTAAAAACCATTGTGCAACTAATGAACGTGATGACGCGTGTTTAATAATGCGGGATAGTTTGATGAGACAGCCTACTAATTTGGGCAACATTTATTTAATTTAAAAAAAAACAAATTAGACATCCAATTAGGTCAAATTTAATGTTGCATTGTTTTCAAGTCTTGACCCACATGCCAACGTTAAAAAAAAATCTGTCATTTACAAGTGTCCGAAGTATTGCTCGGGCGTTTTGATCTAGACTGACGACAGACTGACGACAGAGGAAGTGAGTTAAATAAAAGCTTCTAAAAGTCATGTCTATATACCGAGATGTCATCTCCCGTAGTGTGATATTAGAATATTCGAGAAAATTTAGGGGATATCACTCCCGGTTTATTTCAAATGTAGTACTTAATTGTAAAAACGAAATGCTAAGTATGCGCTTTATTATTTCCCACAACTTGTTGAATTTAATGTTCGGTTATATATTCAGAGTTTAATTTACACATTAATTTACGCGAAATTTAAATATATTATCTTAAATTATCCAACAACTTTTCATTATTTATTATAAATAGCATGCAGAGTAAACTAAACCCGTAATATAATTACAAATAATAAAATGGAGCATTCGAGTATTGAGTTACCTTTTTGAAGGTAAACAAATAATTTTATTACATCAAACACGTACATTAACTTAAATCACAGCTATTACTGTGGTCGTCATTAATCTTTTGCTACATTAGCTGCAATAACTGCTGCTAGAATTTAGATTTAACAAAATGTATGTTGACTTACATCGGATTCTTTAGCATTTTTTATCGTATACGATTAATCAACACGAACAAACAAAATGCTCGTTTAAATTGTGATTATGTTAAATTTAAAGCGTAATCTGCTGCTTTTTATATTGCGAACTAATATTAAAACTTGTATAACTATTTTTACCTTTTATATCTCTGTGGATGATCCTTTTACCTTGTAAATAAATAACCGCTTCTGTGATTTGAATACTAAATTCTAAAGTTTTTATCTCGGTAAGAACACCACCTGGTTGTGTTTTTATGTAGGTGGCCAAAGATCCCTGAAATGTATAATTTAGTATTGCAAATGATGCGTACACTTTTAAGTATCTTACAGATGTATTATTATTCTACATTATGCTAAGCTTACAAAATATATAGAGGTTTATTTAAGTTCAGTTAACAGATTTAAAAATAAAAACTGTAAATGATATTAATTAATTTTAATATATCATTCGAACCGAATTTTTAGGCTTATTTTGAACATCTGGTGAAAAAAGCGTGTATCCATTCTAAATATTGCGTTCGTGATATAAAATTCATAATACTACATACTTTGCTAAAATGGGATATTTGTACATACACATGATTTTAGCATACCTCCGGCATGTATTCAATAAACAGGGATATAGTGTGCGAAGTTTTACTGTAGCCGTAGAACTTAACGATATTTTCATGATCCAATTGCTTCAGTGCCTTCATTTCATTTAGAACACTATTCTGTTCATTAGGAATGTAATATGAAAGAGTTATTATAAATTTGGAAGTTTCACAATAATGACATATTCTATGCAAATTAAATAGATTGATTTATTACTACGTGCAAGTCAAAGCAATCATAAATAGTCAATTCTCCGAGTGTCGATGTTCATGCTAAAATTAGGTCAAATAGGGATTCTTGAACTGATTTTTACCTGGAGCCGGACGTTTCAGAATGCCGTTTTCCCGAAGGCCGATTTCTCGAATGGACACTTGCCCGAATGGGACAAACGCCCGAATGGACACTTGCCCGAATACTAAAAACGCCAAAATGGACAAACTTTCAAATTTTCGATTTGCACCCCCCCCCCTCAAGTTTTTCTCAATATATTCTGCTATTTTTTGCCTTGTGTCACCCCCCTAAATGGTGTCACCCGGTGCGGTCCGCACCCCCCCCCGCCCCCCCCCTCGCTACGCCCCTGTCTTGGATGACAATACATGCATCTTTTTCATTAGCGATTGTGATTATTTGTTAAGTTTAGTTTGCTACATTTTGTATAGACAGACGTCCAAACTATTTTTATGTCTGTAGGCTCTAAAATCCGGAGCGAAATTTTGTCTTGCTCTGACAGTAATAACTACCTGACACCTTATTAAAAAAGATTAATTTTTAAAATATAAAAAATAGCAATTGAAAATGCTAAAGCAGGATTTTGTTCAACGTCCATGAGAGATTAAATGAAGCTATAGTTTACAACCCAGATTTACTTTTATTCGATTTTTTTGTAGAGGCCTGAAAGAATAGTAAGATCAGAAAATTGTAATTGCACATAAAGACTTAACAGGTTTACTAGCCAAAAAGTGGCAAGTCTAGAAATTGAATGCAAATCAGAAATACCAGTGTTACTTCTTTGAGAACACTCTGTGTAGACAGTTGAGCTAAGTAACAAAACTGTCACTGAAAGGTGCGTTTTTATGTCTTTTTACTTGGTTTAAATACTTTGTTTGAAAAGTCACCAACATCTCAAAATAGTTTCAAGGTACATAGAAATTCCTCTCACCCTGCTTGGGTTGCCAGGTCTATAAAAGATATTGGTGTTGTAAAGAGAAAAAAAAATTCTTTAGTCTAGCAAGTAACTTACTACATTATCTCCTGGAATGTCGTCACAGATAAAATATTGTTTTGCCGCATATTTCTTCTCTTCTGTGTTATTTTTATTAATGACAAGATACACGACGGATGACATTGTTCTCCCCAGAGGTTTCCCTTGTATCCAGTTTGAAAATGTTTCAACTCCATCTGCGAATACATTTTTCTTTTTCAAAAAGTTTGCTATAATTTGGTGAGGTTGCTAACAATTTTGTTTTTTTTTTTTTGTGCTTTATTTCAGTATTTAAGGTTTTATTGATACATTTATGATCGGACGACTTGTTTATGTAACAGATAGCCTGTTTGCTAATTTAAGGTAGCCTATGTACATCACGCAAATCTGATCAGTTCTGGCGGGTACCTTAATTGATTTTGCTAAAAGAAAATCGAATGTACGAAAAAGTCACGAGAAGATTTGTTGGGTTGGAATCCACAAAATGGAATGAAACAATTTAACGCTTAATTAGCTTAAATTAATATTTTCACAAATCTTGACGTTTTACATCTCCCTGAGTTAGAAAAAAATGGTTTTGCCATTTTTTTCTTTGCCTGTGTGTGCGTGTGTGTGTGTGTGTGGATTTGTGTCTTTAGTATGTGTGTCTGTGTGTCTGTGAACACGATAACTTGAGTAGGCCTACCGTTACAGCTAGGATGCTGACCTTTTATATATAAGTATAATATCACATGTGTAGTTCTCTGTCAACTTTTCAGCGATTTCCATTAACCGGAAGTTACATAAGTAAAAGATATAAGTTTCTGTGGGTTTTTTTCAAATTTTCATTAAGTTCCGTTTAACGGAAGTAGTACTTAACGCTATTTCTGCTTCATCAAAAACGCTTATAAATTTATAAAGTACTAATATTCCGCACTATTATACATTCATTGTTTGCTTTCACTTGGTGCGCAATTCTTTGTTCAACGAGATTCTATTCTATTTTAAAAGTGTAAGTAATAAAAATGGATTAAAATCATGTCTATATCCCGAGTAGTCATCTCCCGTAGTGTTATATAAATATATTCGAGAAAGTTTAGGGGAGATTAATCCAGCTTATTTTATTTCTTTTCAATTATAGAGCAATCTTACTCATTACTTTAAATTTTAAATTAATATGCATATGTCTAATTAAGATACTCGTTATATTTTATAATGTGCCTATTTATTTTGCATAAATAAAATAAAATAACAATAATTAAGTAGTACCTCCCATAAAAGGCCCTTCGTGAAGAACGTCGCTCATTGTTTGTAGTTAAATTTGGTGCTTATAAGCCAAACTCAGAACAAAGCTGTCTTGTCCATTGTTCGAAAACAAATTAGAAAAAAATAAAAAGTTTTAAAGTTTTATTAAAAGATTTGCTAAGACAGTTTAAGAGTTTATAAAATATAGGTATTTTTGATAATAAGAAACCCTTTTGATCAAACAGAAACAAAATAAAACTTATAGATAAAGCAAAAATTATAACTCAAATACAAACGTAATACTTGATATTAAACACAACTTTTATCCTTTATGATTTAGTAAGACAGCCTGTTAAAACATCTTTATACACAGTTAAGATTGTTTAAATTTTAATATTACTGTAACACACATGCACACAATGCATTTGAAGATATTTACTTAAATATAAAAGAATTGTAAATCGAATAGTAAAAATGTAGACCTACTAATTAGTACACAGAATGAATAAAAAAGTATTGTATCTTTACAAAATGTTCAGTAAATTCGACAGTAATATATTTTTCAAAAGTTAAAATACTTCTCTTATCAAGAATGGAAATTTTTATCAAGTTTTACATAAACCGGAAGGTTAATGGAAAAACCAATGTTTGGGGATTTCCGTTCTTACGTTTTATATTTCAATTTTATATTTAACTAAGGGATCTTCCATAAATGACGTCACACCTGTAGGGGAACGGGTCAGTAATTTTGTGAATGCGTGTGTTGGGTTGGAGGGAGGGGGGTTCAGATGGTTTGACGTCACACTTTTACATTATAAAAAAGCAATGTTAGAAAACGAATTTTAGACGTTATTTCGCGTTTTAGAATACAGTTTTAATAAATTGTAATAGGATTAAAATACTCTATTTTGACAGAGTTCAGATAAGGTTTAGGAAAAAGATCGATGTTTTAAAAAAAATTGGGCTGCAATTTTGAGGGGGGGGGGGTGGGGTTGTAGGCTGAGGTGTGATGTCATTTTAAGGGGGGGGGGGGTCTGGCTTTTTGTGAAGATGTGTGACGGAGGGGGGGGGGGAGGTAAAAATCGTCCAAAAAGCGTGACGTCATTTATGAAGGACCCATAAGGTAACTAACAAAATGCAGTAAAATTCCTAATATATATATATATATATATATATATATATATATATATATATATATATATATATATATATATATATATATATATAATTTTAATTAAGTTGTTATATAAGCAAACTTTAATTTATCACTTATAATATAACAATGCGATGCAATGTAAAAGCTCTGCATGGTACAAAGTTAATTTTACGGCATAACCCACTATAGCAACCCCACACATCAATAACGATGATGAATGAAAACAAGTCTCAAGCAAAATCCAAAACACTATAGCACTTTATCAATATATCTCAACAACAAATTTAGCTAGGTCATCTATAATAAATAGGTACGTCATTCCAAAAATTACCTATATAGCCACGGCTAAAACAAATCCAAAGCCAACAATTAAACATCTGAATAAAATCATTAGAGAGTACATATTTCAGACCACTATTACAAACATTAGCCACAACACACTAGTACAAAACAAACCTGCACGATATACAGACCAAAATCAATACATTCAAACTAACACACATTATCAGAGTAATTTGTCAACCAAACTTTCACCCTCTAGCTCACTACTATATAGGCATTCAGCTCAACAAACTTACAAAAATCAATAATACAACTCCACATTACATAGGAGGAAAACATAGTCCCTTTTACATAGTCCCTTTGCAGTATGAAGGAAGCTTCTCAGCGTAGTTAATTATAACTCAATTTGTGTATGATTAACAGATTATTTAACAGCCAAACAGTGGCGTAGCCAGGAATTGATCATATGAAGGGTTCAAATATTTTTCCATATGTATACAATTATATATATATATATATATATATATATATATATATATATATATATATATATATATATATATATATACACAAGCGTACCCGACCCCCGAGCGTTGCCGCGGGGATTGAAGAAAGTTTGACGAAATATATTAGGATTTCACCAACACATTATCAATTATAATTATATGTTCTTAGACGCGTGACCTACTTTTCTAAAACCTTGAGTGTACATTAACCACTCACCGAAATAATATGGTAGAACACACTTCGGTGAGCGCCTCTGTGTCAGAGCGTAGAGGGGCGCTCTCATGGCCCCAACCCCCCCCCCCCCCCCCGATTACACTACCGCATAGGCGCGGCGTACTATCCCTGGCTCCTTAAAACTAACAGGCGCCATCGGCCAAATAGCATCCTGTTAATAATGATGCAGATTTCGTCATTCGCTAAAGTGACACAAATGATCAGGATTGTTTTCTTTAACACGTAAAAAAAATTATTTGACGTGTTTTAAATGTCTGTGTGACTGATGCAATATGCTAGTGTTATTAATGGTCTATTATTAGATGCCAGATCTCAATTTCTGACTGGATTGTCTAATAGTAGATGCTTATTGCATCATTCGCAAAGTGACGAAACTCTACAGTAGGCTCCTCATATTCAAAAAGTTATTTTTTCATCTTTCGCAAGGTGACGAAACTGTACAGAAGGATTTCCTCGCGTTACAAAGTTATTTTTAGAAGCCTGTTGTAGTTTTACCGTTGAATATAGTAGTACCCCTTACTCGCTATGCAGGACGCTCTATTAACGCTTTTCGCCCCTTTTCCCCCGGGGGGCGCTGCCCTTGTATATTAAACAATATGTTTTTGCAGAACCCTACCATTGAGTAATCTAATCATCTCCCCAAAGTTTCATGGTACACGGATAAACGGTGTGAAACCGAAATTTTATAAACCGTATATAGAGAAAAATCGCACCCTCCCGTGGCGCCGCCCTTGCGAAATTAAAAAAGGATTTTTTTTACAGAACCCTTCCCTGAATTGTTTTTATCAACTCTCCCAAAGTCTCATGGCTATTGGATAACGGTGTCACACCAAAATCGACTTTTATTTTTATATACCGTATATAGAGAAAAATCGCACCCTCCCGTGGCGCCGCCCTTGCGAAATTAAAAATATTTTTTTTACAGAACCCTTCCCTAGAGTTTTATCATGAACTCCCCAAAGTTTCATGCATATCGGATGAACGGTGTCACTGCAATTCACTTTTATTATTTTTATATACCGTATATAGAGAAAAATCGGACACTCCCGTGTCACCGCCCTTGCGAAATTAAAATATTTTTTTTCACAGAACCCTCCCCTAGACTAGTATAATGAACTCCCCAAAGTCTCATGGCTATCGGATGAACGAAGCCAAACCAAAATCGACTTTTATTTTTATATTCCGTATATAGAGAAAAATCGCACTCTCCCGTGGCGCTGCCCTTGCGAATTTGAAATTTTTTTTTCGCCGAAACCTCCCCAGGATAATTCTCAACAACTTCCCAAAGTTTCACGGCGATGTGATAAGAGGTGTGGTAATGCATAAAAGACACACAGACACACACACAGACACAGACACACACATACATTGCTTTATATATATATATATATATATATATATATATATATATATATATATATATATATATATATATATATATATATAGAATATATAGGCTATTTAAATATGGGGGGTCCATGGGAGGGGTTATAACACCCTTATCCCCCACCCCACCCTTACCTATGTGCAAATGTTATATAAAAAGACTATTAAATGTATTAAAAATGGGAAAAAAAACATCATTTAAAAGTAAAAAGATACTTACGGTGCACTTAAAAAATAGAATTCCTTTATAACGTTTTATATAGTTAATTATTTATACAGTTTGTCTAATTTTTGTGTTAAAATGCATATTTTGAATTTATTAACACCTTTACCGTGAAAGGTTTTTTTATGGAAAATGTATATTTTATTCTTTCATTATTTGATTTGTTATGTTTTCCTGACAAAATGTTTTGTTACAGAATTTATGAGAAAAATATGAAGAAGGTAATTATTGGTAATATTTTGTAATTTTTTCTTCAATAATTGCAACTAAATTGCTTTTCTCCAGTATACCTACCTACACATACTTTTATGCATAAATATACTCAAACTATATTATGCATACATTATAATTAAGATAAAAAGTATTTGTTTCTCTCCTACATTTATTTTCATACCTGTCATACATGTCTCCTTCTCACTTTCACTTTTGACATCACGTGATGAACTATTTTTATCATCAGCCTCCCTCTACATTGTTAATGATTTCCAATGGTTTTTTCGTATCAAGACGAGTTAACTGTTATATCTGACGAGATGACCCCCGCCGTATTGTACGCTGCTATTTATTTTTTTATTTTTCTACTTTTCAGTCATTCATAATTTGTATTTTCGACATTACCTCCCCCCCCGCCTCCAAGTGAAAGCAGACGTTGGTGACGAAAGTTTAGGGACGTCAATGAAAAGATCAAGCAGAACTTCTTACCTCTCATTAGTTTCAAATCGTTTAAAAGCTAAATTATCAGCACCTAATAGCCGCCACTGATTCGACACGGTATTACGATTGTAAACTTTCTGGGTGAAAAACAGCTCACCAGACTGGGGGGGGTGGGAGCGAAATGGTCGGTTGTGCATGCCTGGAGAGCGGGAGAGGGGGCAGGAGGAGGGTTAGATAGTTGGCTTGTGTTGTCTTGCCCATGAGGAAAATTATATATATATATATATATATATATATATATATATATATATATATATATATATATATATATATATATATGACGAGTTAACTTGCGATGCACGGTAAAGGGGTTGAAAGTCAATTTAACATAGAATTGCCTGAATTAAACAATTTAACTGAAATAAATTATAATTGAAGCACATTGGGCATAATAATAATAATAATAATTGTAAGCTTTCATAACCAAGCAACAAGCCAAGACTATTTAAACAATAGAATAGAAGGACAATGCACCACAGCTTACTTAAGTCCAAATAGTTCAAATAATTATACGGTAATTTATAGGAACAACAGCAGATGCATCTCAGTTTACTGTGGTTGGAATGTTCTATTGATGGAATGGCAAAAACTGAAGATAAATTGGCAAACTTGATAAGCTACAGTGACAAAATGTCAACTGCATATAGAATCCAGAACAAATGCTGAGGAAACTCAGTTAATGGACAACACTAGCAATGCTTTCGATATCGGCTTAATTATTGCACAAATTAAGCTACTAAATATTAAAACCTTTAAATATATGGTGATATTTCTACAGACTAAGAGTTAGGTTGTCAAAGTTTGTCATCAGTACTCCTACTATAAGGCAGAAGATTAAATGGAATTTGAATCATTTTGCAAATATAATGCTGGCAAAGGCCAAATTGCGATTACTTGGAAGTAAAGGCATATCGTGAAAGTAAATATAAAGCTACGAAAGGTAGATTCTCCTTTATTAAATTAAAAATCGATTTCGAAAATACATACTAATAGACAAAAAAAAATTGGTCATCATGATCATATATCAAATTTTGCGTTTTGTCACAAGTTTCAGAAAGAGCGAAGATTTTTATCTTACAGTATTAAAGTGTAGACTAACAGAAAAAGTGAGAAGGTGACTTCAAAGAATGGACGGGTTCAACACTGCCTTAGGTGACAGCGAGGAATGGAGAAAGTCAATCTAAATACCTTTAGTCTGTTTAACAGACTACGAGGCCTGCTAAACAGATGAAGAGGTAGAACTTTATGCTAATTATTTTTTTCTGAATTTGTTACTTGAAAGCCGAAAAGAAAACATTGCTATTACTTTCTTCTTCTATTGATTCTATGAAAATTGTGTTAACATGTTCCCAGTCAACATGAACCCGATGTAACTCTTCTGTTTTCTTCAGCGCCTCATGTAAGGTCTTATGAGTTGCTTGCTCTTTCATGCGACCAATCCACTTGATTAAAAGGTTGGTGATTGTTTTTTTCACATCATAGTTGCAGGACTGAAATTCTTGTTCAATTTGCACTTGGGTAAAGTTTAAGTTGAGACAAAAATCCTCCCAGTTTCTACCTACAGTCGACGCATATCGACTTGCATCTCTTTCTGTGAGTTTTGAGTGTATGCCACCTGAAAGTAAAGTTAACAAAAACAAATGTTAACACCAACTACATTCTATATTGTTTATCCGCGTTATCTACATAATTATTACAAGTTTTCCCCCAAAGTTGGCTAAATATAAACCGTTTCCATTTAACTGTTTGTTTATTTTAAAAAACTTATCGCCGCTTACGATTTTAGAATTTGCAACTACACAATTGATTTTTTGTTGATTTTGTTTATATAAAAAATTAATGTAAATCTAGTGACAACAGACCTAAAAATTCATTGGGCAGATAAAGTGGAGTTCGTATATTTCTTGACATCGGCACTATGCCCAGCCACCTTTACTTTCCCTAACGTTAGTTAATTATCTTCCAGAGCTGGGTGGACTCTGGGAAGTTCCACTGATATGAACCCACATTTGAACTATGGACTTTCGGGTAGCAATCTACCTCTCTACAGCGTGGCCACATCGTACCATAATGGGATTCCACTCGGGGCAGTGGATTTTCTGATGGGTAAAAAACTTCGGTCAACTTTCGGCACCGTGCTTAAGGATGCTCTTCTTTCATTTCACCACAATTTGCTCCACATTAACAAAAAGCTACATAGGCCTAAAGTTACTTCTATATCTTTAGTTACCCTTCTTCCCTAATCCTGCCGTCAGGCAGACTCATGAATTAATCATATGTCTAATGGTTACATCACTAACTTGCACTATACAATAAATAAAAATTGTAAATGAAAATTTACTCAAACAATTTAAGACTGTATAAAATAAATAATATATCTGAATAATATTACTTAAAAACACATACAATGTTATTGTAAAAAAAGCAACATTGAAATATTACAACGTAAAGTAATAAGAATTTACATCGAACACTTAAAAAAGACGAAAAATCACCTTTACTGGATGTTAAATGGTAAGCGAGCCAAGTGTACTCCGACTTTCTTAACGCTCTTAAAAAGTTGTTCTCTGCATTTTTGGACAGCACAATGTACAATAGCTTCTCTGCCCTCTTTCTGTGATCACCCGCCTCTTCGATTTCGTTCATCTCCAAAGCAGAGATCGTATCATACTGCAGTAGATGGGGAACCACCTTTCGCGTGTCCATGGACTCTAAGACTGGTGCATATTTGTCATGCTGCATGGTTTTTAGAATTCCATCTCTATATCTTTGACTATCATTTTTTCCTGCAATTTAAGTGCCATTCATTAATATAAAATAAACACAATAACATTTCGAGAGTTTTACTTTACTTTAACTATTGAGCATTCACACTACTATTATTAGCGTCTAGTAAATTGACATGAAAAGCGACAAAAAATGTGTTGTTGCTACCTCCTTTAGCTAATAACGGTTTTGTTTCCTCTTCTGAGTCATCGCTTTCGTTGAATACCCTCAACAGCCCGAGGTCAACAACTGGATATCTTTCGCCTTAAAACAAATTAATTACTTTTAAATATTTTGCTTTTTAACTTTACATGTCCGGAATACAACATTTCAAAATGACTTCTACCTAATTAATTTGCTCATAATTCTAGTTTTTATGTATATGTTATTTCATTGTAGGTTCTAAATATTTAATTGTTATACATTTTATTAAATATTCTAATTCAATTACATTTAAAGAATAAATATCAACTAAATGGTACATACATATTGAAATTATTATTTAGAATTTATAACATATTATGTATTTAACTTACATAGTAAATTATCATAATAAATTGAATATAAAATAGGGTAACAGTTTTAATTACATTAGTGAATCAAATATGTGTATACGATTCTTTAAACGTAAAATGCCTTAAAATTATATTTTAACGTAAATCCTTTAGTGATACTAAGTATAATAATCTTTACCTATGGCATCAGAAAAAAGTTCTGGCTCAGTGTCAGATGAATCAGAATCATTAAGAACATTGCACATTTGGTGACCTGAAATATGTATTAAAAACCATGCATCCCTGATAGACTAAGTCATTGTAACATAAAGACAATGTATAGCTTACATACGTATTTAAGAATAATTTTTTAAATGACATTGAATAAAAAAATAAAACAAAATCAGATGTAGTATATCACTGCATTAATTATTGTATACCTACAATCTCTGCATACAAATACTTGATGTAAAATTTAACCTAGATTTTATTCCAAGTAAAAATATACTTGATATTAAAGCAATAATCTATTTTTTTTTAAAAATTGAAATAATGATTATACTATTATTTATTTTTGTACCTTTTTATTGAAATAATAATATCGATATTTGTGTTTAAACTAAGACTTACAAATACACATAGCCTCATACAATTTGTATTAACATTTTATTTTAAACGTTTAACTAAGCAATGCAATTCATATAATAAAATTAAAAACATACTTGTCGAATGTATCAGATGCATAAGCTGCATTGCGTCTGGTCTGGCATTTGAGTCTATGGTGCAAGCTGAAAGAATTAGATTCTTCAAACCTTGAGAGCATGATGGCGGCGGCTTGATTTGTAGCTTCTGATCTACGTCCCACGAGACAAACCGGTAATCTTGCAAAAATTCGAAAGGGTATTTTCCCACTACCATCTGATATATCGTGCACCCAATGCTCCTGTTAATGTAGAGAAGTGGGAAAAAATGTAGTACTGTAGTCAATGTGTCCGTGCCGTTTTCAATTCAATCTTTTAATAGGTAGAATTAACACATACATATATTCGAAAACGAACACTTTGTTGGTAGATCTGCTTATTCGTCAACTTAAAGTAATAAAATATAATATTTATATATATATATATATATATATATATATATATATATATATATATATATATATATATATATATATATATATATATATATATATATATGGTGACAGGACATGATCTCAAGACAAATGATTTCAGACAAAGTATCTCACGCAACACAAATGATCTCACGGAGAAAAAATCAAGGACAAAATATATATGGAGATATTGTGTCTTAGATCATTTGTCCTAGATCATTTGTCTTGAGATCTTTTGTCATGGAACCATATATATATATATATATATATATATATATATATATATAAAAATATATATATATATATATATATATTTAACAATAACTTTCGTGACTCCTACCAAATATCCACTTTATAGCTATATGGAACACCTTTAAATAATTCTGGTGCCATCCAGTATAAGGTTCCGATCCGTGCTGTTCGAGTTTTGGAAACAGTGTCAAGCATCTTGCTGAGACCAAAGTCTGCTAGTTTTACAGTCGACTCGTTTTTCAAGAGAATATTTGAGCCTGTTTGTTTTTAATTAAATACAAATTAATGTTGTTTTTTGCATTAATAATATCTAAATTGAATATTTAAGAATTACAAAAAAAATATTTTAATAGTCGTTATGCATAGCAATAAGTAAATTCTTACCTTTTATATCTCTGTGGATAATTTTTTTACCATGTAAATAAATAACTGCTGCGGTGATTTGTTTGGTAAATTCCAAGGTCTTAGCCTCGGTAAGAACACCACCTTGCTTTTCTATGTACTTGGACAAAGATCCCTGTAATATTTGATACAATTATCTTATTATGCGCACACTTGTATATCCCTTACGTCAGCATTAACAGCCTACCAGTTGCTAGGCAATACAAAGATGATGTACATATTAAACAAAACTAATTGATTTTATTTAAAATAAACTATAGGGGCCTATTTTACTTAAATAGATCATTGAAATCATCTCTTGCAACTAATGTTTTATTAGGAAATACAGTTTATTAAAATCGTTAAATATTTTATGCGTTCCTTTATAAAGCAATTAAAAAGTACTCTGTAATTAAAATGAGTGAAAATAATGTTTAAGAATAAAGATTTCATACCACAGGCATGTATTCAATAAACAGGGATATAACATGCGTAGTTTTACTGTAGCCGTAAAACTTGACGATACCCTCGTGTTGAAGTTGCTGCAGTGCCTTCATTTCATTTAGAACACTGTTCTGTTTTAATAGTAATACAATTGATTTAAAGGAAGCATTTTGTAAGGAAATTGTAGCCGTTTTTTAATATATAAGCTAAATTGATGCATTGTTGAGCTAAGTGGTTGATGTTATTCTATTGATACCTCTGCGAACAAATTAATAGTGATTTCTACGAGTGACGTTGACACTATGTAAGTGGAGAATCTCGAACATTATCTGTCAGTTTTTATTTAACTTGGACTGTTGTTATTTTGTCTTTTGTTTGTCTTTTAAATACATCATGGGTCTGAAATTGCGAGCAAAATTTAACCACCTTTAGGGCCTAGGTCCGATGACAATATAATGTCATCTTTTGACTTAAGTAAATGTTTAATTAATGTTGTTTTAGAACAATAAACAATTGCTGTATCGACTATAAATAACGGTCGATGCATGTGAATTGGCGCTGTCATTTTAGCTACGCAATTAGATTCTACTTCAATTAAAAAAAAGTATTTGAATAATTAATTCAAATGTTTTAATAAGCTTATAAACATGCACTTATACCAGTGGCGGAACTAGAAAAAAAAGGGCCACCCCGCAAAAAAAAGTTTTTGGCCCCCCACCATATATATATATATATATATATATATATATATATATATATATATATATATATATATATATATATATACTATCAAAGAATATGAACATGGGATACTTATTTCTGTCCTGATCGGGTTTTAAAGAAAATGTCTTTGTTTTTGTTTTTTTTAAATTAAAACAAATTACAACAATATCTCATATGAGTGAGTGCATTAGTCTGTTTTGAAAATCTGTTTTTTTTTGTCTGCCGTAATATTTCTTAACTTAGAGACGGTCAAAAGAATATGAAATACCAAAGCTTTGTATATGTAATGGTTTCTCGAGTTATGTTTATTTTTATGTCTTTTTGTATTTATATTATTAATTTTAAATACTTTTCCATTTTATACTTTGTCATTCTTTAGTATGTATATTTTTTTTTAATAATTAAGAGAAGTGATTGCTTTTTAATTGTTTAGTAGAATTCTATTAAAAGGAGCATATAAGCACCCCTATTAGACTATTTTAGAAAGGGAAATAAGTCATGGAAGTGGTTTAAACGTTTGCCTATCTTTCACAGTGGTTTAAAAACAAAGGGAAAAAGAATAATTATACAAGAGCATGGGATGGTGTCTATAGAATAAAGATAATCCAACAGCAGCTACAGTATTATTTTTACTTTTGACAATACAACCATCAAGTCAAAAATGAAAGAAAATTAATTTTTTTTTAACTAAAAAAAGTTGATTATAGTCGGCTGTGGGCCCCTAAACGGCGTGGGCCCCTCCGCATTGCGGGGTCTGGCGGTACTGTAGTTCCGCCCCTGACTTATACAAAGGTATGTCTATAATAATACACCACTGTTTAAGAAACTATATAGGAACGTTAGGTCTTATGTATTTTGTATTGAATACCTTTACCCACATTGGTGCATTTTTATATATTAAAAAATTATGTTCTTTTTATAAGTGCATAGCCTACATAAACGTCTGTTATGAATTTTTTGTAACAGTTTCAATTGAGTATACCATTTCAATAACGCGAAGGAAGTGATATTTTTAATGTTAATTTCTACAAGACCTACTAGGTTATATAAAACAACAAAGCTTTTGGTGTAATATTTCTTTGTTGATGTATATAAAAAGCTGAATAGACTATGCTTTACATATAGATCTAGGTGTTGTAAACAAAACCAATAATTGTCATTACTAGCATTGTTTAATATAAACAGTAACTTACAACTTCCTTTTCTGAGTTGTCGTCACATATAAAATATTGCTTGGCCGCATATTGTTTTTCGTTTTCATCGCTTTTTTTAACAACTAGTGACACGATGGATGAGGGGGTTCGTCCAAGACAGGTTCCTTTTTTCCAGTTTGAAACTTTTCCCTCTCCATCTGAGAATGAAATAGTTTTTATAAAGTTGATTGATTTAATTTGTTGAATTTGCTTGTAACTAGGCATACATTTTTATAAAACCAATATTAAGTTTTTTTTTCATCATTATGTAAGGGTGTTCAAGCTTTATTTATGTTATGATTTTACCGACGAGTACGTGTAGAAGAACACACGATTGCGAGCTGTTTATCTTTAGATTTACATTTCCCAGAGGCGTAGCGATGGGGGGGGGGGGGGCAGGGGGTACTAAGGTCCCCTGGCGCTGACCTTAGGGGGCGCCCAAATGGGTTTTAAAAACAAATTAAAATGTCATTTTAGCTGCATTTTAGCAGTTTGCGGGGGGGGGGGGGGGGGGTCTGCAAATCGAAAGTTTGAGGGGGTGCAAAAAGAAAGTTTGAGGGGAGGGGGGAGGGGCGCCAAATAGAAAGTTTGTCCCCGGGCGCCGGGAAGGGTCGCTACGCCTCTGACATTTCCCGAATGAAACCTAAGTCTAATCAGCTCTAATGAGTACCTGACTTCATTCAGACAAAAGAAAAGCGGATGGGCGTTGAAAAACAACACATTATTCCTTTAGGTGAATATTTCTTCATCTACCATAAAGTAACACAAAAACTCTTCATTTCTAGAGATGTAATCAATATCGTGTGTTTCATGACCCAGGCATAAGTAAGGAAAATCTGGTCAGAACTATGCCCAGCCGCCTTTACATACGTCAGTTGGTGACCTCAGGGACTTCTACTTATTTGAACCCGGATTCAAACTCGAGACTTACCGGTTAGCAGACGAGCTCTCTACTCCCTAGTCTACTCTGTCCCATGCTTGATTAATAGATCGAGTATTAAAGAATTTTCCCCAAACATTGTTTTTTTTGTCATTCATAATAATGTTTTGCTAAAACGATTTTAGTAAACCTGCTTTTGATGTGAAGGCTTACTCTACCAATATTTTACATCAGTTCTATTTTAAGGCCGATCAATCTCAATAAATCAGGATAGATATCTCTTATAGAGCAGCTCATTATAAAAAGTATGTTTCCCATTAAATTAGTTTAATACACATTATGATTAAAAAAAATCAGGTAAGATGTACCTCCTTGAAAAGGCCCTTCATAATATACATCAGCGCTCATTGTTAGTAGTTAAAACGGGGTGTCCAATAGCCATACCAAAAATAAATGAACGTTTCCCGTTCTCCTAAAGCAAATTATAATAAAAGCAAAAGTTTTACAACTTTGTTTATGATTTTCATCTAAATATGTAATAGATAATACATTATTGATGTGAAATTTTAAAGATTTCAAGTAAAATAAAATCAGTCACCTAGGAATATGTAATACTGGAAAACCCCCTTCTGAATTGGAGATAATTATAATTTAAATGCAATATAAAAAGTATAACCCAACGACAAAACCTATTATTTAATAAATAACAAAATTACAATCAAATATAATTTATTGTAAGGTCTATTGTTAGCAGATAGTACACAAAACACAAAATGTGTAGTTTTTAAAATCCTGCTGCATAATGCAAAAAAAAAAATGAATTTTAATATATACTTAAACTTAATAAATCTTTAACGATTCAAACTTAAATAACAAATTGTTTAAAGAGCAAACGCAATAGTATTATAATTTAACAAACTTCTCAAATTTTAAAAGTAAAAACAGCATTAGCAATTACAATAATCACATTAATACGAAAATAATAATACTGTGTTTGCATAAAAATATTTGTAGAAGTAGGTCAACGGAAAAATCATTCTTCGGGGAAATCCGTTTTTACTTTACGTTCCTATTTTCTTTTTAACTTAAATAGCAAACTAAATACAGTAACATTTCAACATTATTTAAAACTACACAAATACAGATTTTGTGGTTTTTTTAAAAGATATTTCACTTATTTGGCACATTCAAAAATTATTAAAAAATAAAAATATGACAATAATGTACATACATGACTTTGACACATGAAGGGATAGTGTGGTCAGCACTATGTCCAGCCGCCTTTGCTTTATGTAACTTGACTCTGGTACCCATCAGAGCTGAATGGACTCAGGGACGTTCTATGAACTTGTCCCCGGATTCGAACTCGAATGTTGAGTTAACAGTCGCATGCTTTATATTCGACCATGCCCTTAGATGCAGTAAATTTATAGAAATACATTAAATCTCCGAAAAGCTTCCGGAAGTAAATATTTGTAATTAAATACACAGATAATCCACACGCTCACTTCACATACGAACGCATGTACACATAACATTCTTTAGAATACTGATAATCTAAAAGCAATCAAGTAACTTAAGACTGCGCTGTTTGTTATGTATGTGTGTATGCTGCTTAGCAATCACTGCACGGCGTGGTCGAATGGTAGAGCATGGAACTGCAAATCCAAAAGTTCTTAGTTCGAATCCTGGTCTACATCTGTAGAACTTCACAACATTTACCAGTTCTAATGGACATCTATATCACTCCAGGGTAAGCAAAATTGGTTGAGTATAGTATTGACTAATGTATATTCCCGTGGTACGTTAGATATGAAAGGGAATTAATAAACACAACACACTCTGTATAATAAGTTTTTATTTTACGCAAGCGTATACATATGATGATAAATTAGATGTATAGCTCTGTCTGAGTTGTTTTATTACTTTATGTCAGGTTGTCCTCACTTGAACTACATAGTTTAAAAGTAGACTTGGAGATTACGTAACACTTGACTAAATCACGTGTTAGATTTGGTTATTGTCCTTCTTTAAAAACAGTCATAATACAGTACGTGTGGTCATATTTCTACGCGCATGTTTGATTGCATCTTTCGTCCTACTTTAGACTATATTTGTATTCGATTTGTTTATTTTTTTAATAACAAACGGTGTGATCTTTCACCTTATTGTTTGTTTATCTTCAGTACGATTACTTTCAGATGCCATTCATCTTAATATTAATTTACTCAAATTTTAACACAAAATAAGTCGATATCCCGCCAAAAAAGCCACATTCCTCCATTGAAAGAAGGATCTTATGTTAGGTGAACTCTGC